TGATGATGGCAAACTACATTGTAGCCACAGTTGCCCTGGGACAAACTGACAGAGGTGGGGCTGCCATGCACTGGCAACACTGGACCCTCTAACCACCATCAGTAGGCAAGGTGGGTGAAGTGTCTTGCCCAAGGACACAACAACTGAAACGGCTGGACAGGGGATTGAACTGGTGACCTTTCGGTTCCAGGACGACTCCCCTAACCATTCTGCAGGCGCCCCATTATACCATGTTTTCACTGATGTAAGATCATGTTTTCACTGATGTAAGATCATGTTTTCACTAATGTAAGATCATGTTTTCACTGATGCAAGATCAGGTTTTCACTGATGTCAGATCAAGTTTTTTCTGATGTAAGATCACGTTTTCACTGATGTAAAATCACTTTTTTACTGATGTAAGATCAAGTTTTCACTGATCTAAGATCATGTTTTCCCTAGTATAAGACCAACCATCTTTTTACTGATGTAAGATCAAGCTTTCACAAATGTAAGATCAGGTTTTCACTGATCTAAGATCATGTTTTCCCTAGTACAGTATAAGACCAACCATCTTTTTACTGATGTAAGATCAAACTTTCACTAATGTAAGATCAAGTTTTCACTGATGTAAGATCAGGTTTTCACTGAAAGATCATGTTTTCACTGATGTAAATTCTTGTTTTCACTGATGTAAGATCATGTTTCCACTAATGCAAGATCATGTTTCCACTAATGTAAGATCATGTTTTCACTGATGTCAGATCAAGTTTTCACTGATGTCAGATCAAGTTTTCACTGATGTCAAATCAAGTTTTCACTGATGTCAGATCAAGTTTTCACTGATGTCAGATCAAGTTTTCACTGATGTCAGATCAAGTTTTCACTGATGTCAGATCAAGTTTTCATTGATGTAAGATAAAGTTTTCACTAATGTAAGATCATGTTTTCACTGATGTAAGATCATGTTTCCACTAATGTAAAATCATGTTTTCACTGATGTCAGATCAAGTTTTCACTGATGTAAGATCATGTTTCCACTAATGTAAGATCATGTTTCCACTAATGTAAGATCATGTTTCCACTAATGTAAGATCATGTTTCCACTAATGTAAGATCATGTTTTCACTAATGTAAGATCATGTTTTCACTAATGTAAGATCATGTTTTCACTGATGTCAGATCAAGTTTTCACTGATGTCAGAACAAGTTTTCACTGATGTCAGATCAAGTTTTCACTGATGTCAGATCAAGTTTTCACTGATGTCAGATCAAGTTTTCACTGATATAAGATCAATTTTTTATTGACGTAAGATCAGGTTTTCACTGATGTAAGATCAAGTTTACTCTGATAAAATATACAATTCCTGCAACTGATTTTATGTTGCATCAAAATGAAATGAGTAGAAAATCTAACAAACCAGTGCAAAATGGCTTGAGATGGTGTGCGATGGAGATGAGGGGGGGCCCTTAAACGTTTGTGTGCAGGGCCCCCCAAGGGTCTTCACCCTGCCTTGATCTCTGGGTGTTGTRTCCGGGCATATTACCTACAAGCTGAAGTTGTGAATCAGATCCTGGATCAGCAACTGAGTGCGGCTGCACGAAAAACAAACAGAGCTAACCAAAGAGGACCAGCAGATGTCAGTCTGACTCTGGAGAGCCACTCAGACTTTTACCTTCTGTAGAAGACACTCTTACATAAGGAACCTCTCAAACACTTTCATACAGACACAAAAAGTGAAGGCACTTGTTGATGTGCTTTATCAGATATTCCTAAAATTTATCAGATTGAAATAGAAAACATGTTAATGAGATTTTTTATTATTTTTTTACTTGCAATATTTAGAGCTATTTATATTTTTATCACGTGAGGCAACATTTTAAACTATAAGGCTTCAGGCCACCAGCATCCTGTCTGTCCTCAGCTCCCTTCTGGTTGGAAACATCCACTCCACAGTCAGACACCTTTGACCTCCAGTGGCAACATCCGCACCTGAGTCAGAGTTCGGCCGCATACACTGGACACACAGATTCCACGGAATCTTTTAATCTAAATTAAAGGGCAGAGACATTGACATTTTTCCTGGAGTCGTAGGAATTACTGCTATTCTTGTTCAGTCTGCGCCCTGTGTGTAAACATTCTGATTGTAGGTTACAGTGCGTAAACACAGGAAAAAATGCCAAAGAGACTCTCTCCCTCTCTCGTTGTCATTTCTTTTCTTTAAGCACTTTTCCATAAAACATCTCTGGGCCATTTTTTTTTTTATCAACCGTGAAGAGAGGAGGAGCGATGGGATGGGGTGGGTGTAAAGGGGCGTGTTTTGGTATAAAATACTTCTCCCTGAGAAGTTTTGCCTGTCGCCTGGTCTTGGGACAGCCTCTCACACACCAACTCAATATAGCTTCACCAACTGGGAAAGTAACTCACCTGCAATATCTCCAACCAAAAAGAAAAAAAAATAAGAAAAAAAAAAGGGGGAAGAAAGAAAAGCTCCTGCCACTTCTAACTACTGCAAGCTGACATGGAAACCCAGCAAAGACACGGACTCCACTCACTTTGCCACACCTGCCGGAGAACGGAGAACAGCAGAATAAAGGTAAACCACTGGAGCTGATCGTTTGAAACGCTCGGTCTCTGTGCGCGTAATGAGAGAGCTCAGACAGGCTTGGAGAGATATTTGCTTGTCTCATCAAAGCGAGGAAAACGGCTCAGGCTTTAGGACATTTCTTGCTTTGAATCATGCAATTTGACCAAAAGGGATCTCCTAATTTGCATGCAGCAGACAAGGGGGGAAAAAAGTTCAAACTGAATAATCTGCGAAAGGGGAGCTTTGGAGCTTTTGTGTCTTGGATTTGTATTAAAAAAAAAAAGGAATTTAAAGTGGTGGGTGTTTTAATCTCTGCTCTGGATGGTGCGCCGGGACGCGGGGCAAACAGCTGGTCGTCTTGCCGGCAGATAGGGGGCGGTAGGTCTGAGGGTCATTGAGCTCACTCCGGGGTGAGCAGGGGGAAAATATATGCTGAGTCTGGATTTCTGGATAGTTAACTATCGAGCAGCCGGCCTTTTTGGAGAGTTGTGCAAGACAGTGAAAGCTACACATACTGGCGATTTYCCCCCCCTCGCTCCACAGAATAAGCACTTCTCCCAGGTGCCAAACACATGACATCAGCTGATTGAAATCAGGGGAGCGGGTGTGGGGGGTGTTTATATATCATTGGACTCTTTCGGAGTTACTGGGTCAGCGCACAGGACAGCTTTTGACAMTGAGCGCGCATGAGTTTTAAGACTTTAATCTCTTACATTACAAAACAAAACATCTGGCTGTGATCTTGGTCGAATGGAGCTCACATCTTCTAGTTATTGAAGTCGTGGTGACTATTTGCTGTGCGTGTGTGTTTTTGCCTGCAGGTCAAGAAGATGACTTCGTCCAGCCGCGCGCTGCTGTTCGCGCTGGCTCTCACGCTCTACGTTGTGGAAATGGCCTCGGCGGAGACGTTGTGTGGTGGGGAGCTGGTGGATGCACTGCAGTTTGTCTGCGAAGACAGAGGCTTCTATTTCAGTAGGTTTTATTTTATTTTATCTTTTTTTATTTTATTTATTGGAGCACTGCAAGCTGTGCATACATGTTTGTCATGTTATATTATTTTCTCTCTCTCTCTCTCTCTTGCGGAATCTTTCTGCTCTTCTTTTTGCGCGCACATCTGTTTGGATAGCTGAGACTGTCTGTGGCTGTGTGGTATGCGTGTTTGCTATTTTTCTTTCTTTTACGCACTGACGCCCATACGCGCGCGCGCACAGAGAAGAGAGAGAGAGAGAGAGAGAGAGAGAGAGAGAGAGGCATTTTGTGATTGCATTCAAACAAACAATAAACAAGATCTCTACACAGATTGACTGCCTTCTCATTGCATATGAAAAGGCCGGCGACTTGCGAAGGCACACACGACTCAGAGACACAATGGGCCGCTTGTTTACCAGTAAAGTAATAGCACNTTGGATAGCTGAGACTGTCTGTGGCTGTGTGGTATGCGTGTTTGCTATTTTTCTTTCTTTTACGCACTGACGCCCATACGCGCGCGCGCACAGAGGAGAGAGAGAGAGAGAGAGAGAGAGAGAGAGAGAGAGAGAGAGAGAGATGTCTGAAGAAGCTCGTGCAGGCCGCTCTGCTGCTTCCAGACCATACCTTCTCATTGCATATGAAAAGGCCGGCGACTTGCGAAGGCACACACGACTCAGAGACACAATGGGCCGCTTGTTTACCAGTAAAGTAATAGCACCCCGAGAGGCATACCAGTCACCTCAGCACCAGTATTCCCAGGCCAGGCGACCACACTGATGAGCTGAGATGGAGGGGGCTGACTGATGTCAGAGGGAAGATCATTGACATCACTTCTGATCGTTCTGTTGTATTGATGGCACCGTAGCTGTAAAAGCTTTACGCTGGAGCAATTGTTAATCCTCATCTGGATTAGATTGTGTTTGTGACATACATACACAACTTTGCTTTTTGTTTTCTGACTGATTATGTTTAAAAAAAAAAGGATTGTTATTCTTCGACAGACAAGCAGAATATTTGTCTTGGTCTCCCGTCAGAACCGTCACTGGGACATCACGCTTCCTTCACCTCCTCCCTTTCCCCGGATCATTTGCTTCTCTTTTCTGTCTTTTTCTTTTTTTTTTCTTTTCCGTCTCTCATGTTGCTGTTCCTGCAATCAAATCTAGCCATGCCTCTCATGAGGTTTCTCCTGTGTGGGTTGCAGGGCTTCAAACAAGGCCTTTATTGATTGTGTATAATGTTACCTTGTGCAACATGCTGACCATCCACCCCCTCACTTCATTCTTTAGAATGTTTCTCTTTCATATTTTTTTTTGTTCTTTTTTTTTTTGGTTTAGTACTTTCGTCCATCTTTGTGTGTTAATTCCCTTTCGCTGCCTATCCCATTTTCTTCTTCAACAAGGTTTTTTTTGTCATTCCTTTTGCATCACTACGGCCCAGGGTGTTTACTTGTAGGCCTATGTACATACATTTAAAGACTCCAGATAGGCCTAATCAGATTATCCTTTACACCAAAAATATTTGTTGCAGTTGGTCACAGATTTCCTTTTATCCTCTTTTCTCCAAAGGCTGTGATGATTGTTGAAGTAATCCTGCAACAACAACCCAGATTCATTATTGTGCCCTTGCAGTGTTTTTATTTTAGGTTCTAACCTCGCCCTCCTCATTGCCTTTCTTTTAATCTCTGCTGTGTTTTTCCTCAGGTAGGCCAACCAGCAGGGGTAACAACAGGCGCTCCCAGAATCGCGGGATCGTAGAGGAGTGTTGTTTCCGTAGCTGTGACCTCAACCTGTTGGAGCAGTACTGTGCCAAACCCGCCAAGTCTGAGAGGGACKTGTCGGCTACCTCTCTACAGGTCATACCCGTGACGCCCACACTAAAGCAGGTGCGTCTAAACAAAAACAGCAACAACAACTAGCAAAAGTGCTAATTCAGGTCTTTATCTGTTCCCTCATCTCTTGTGCCTCCATTTACCGATGTACCTCGCCCCTATGCCACTGGTACTGAGTAAAGGCCGAGTACCGCATGGAAACAAGTTTATCTTGCTAAATGATCGATACTAAGCAGGGAGCATCCATGCAAAGTGCTGACCACTGTGGAAACATCAGTCACAGTACATTATATTCAACAGACRGCAAAGTCATAGTCACATAGCTGTGTGCATGAGAACTGTACAAAAACAGAGCGTGATCATTATCCAATCGCTTGGGACAGAACAGCAGGTTCTTTAAAAAATGTGCTCAAAAGCAACTCAGTGAAGAGTCACAAACATCCAAGGGATAGTCAAAGCATTTTAGATCCTCTCATTTTAGTCACAACACTKACAGCTTTTTGTTGCTCCTTAAAATCCCTTAAAGTCCTTATGACTGACTTGAAAATGTCTTTATTAAGCTTCTGATCTAAAAAAAAAACCATAATGTTGGTGGCATGAGCGTGGTATAGACGTAAAATAAAAATGCTTCAGAAGAAATTTGTCCCCTAACTACGACAAATTGTGAGCAAGGAATAAACAAGCTGCTGGGGACTTTGTTTGGACATGTCTCCAGTTTGTCTCAGTGGGGAGAGTTGATGGGTACAGCCTGCTCTGGGGGGCCAGCTGTTCTTGTGCTATTGAACAGGCTTGGAGTGAATGAAGGGAGATAAACACTCTTCAAGTGGCAGGACCAAAACAAGCTATTCACACGGAGCACTGGTTACTCACACGTAAATCCAAGCTTAGCTGCCAACACTCCCACTTTGTCTCAATCTCTGGTGCTCAAAACAGCACCTAAAACTGTTTAACTGCGTCTTCAGTGTCAGCATAGATGCTCTGAAATGACATTTCTGAGAAGTGTTTTTTATCCGGTSTGTGGGGGTCACGCGGTTCAGCGAGTCGTAGGCTGAATGACAGCATGCTCCTAATATGTATATGAAGGGAGAGTGGCCGCCTTTCCCTTTGACAATATGTTAAAGAGGGTGCACTAAGTGCTTGTTGACAACTTCTCTCAGTGGAGGAAACCAAAACAAGGGTAAGCTGGAAGCAAGGCGAGGCTGTTATGGCGCTCAGCTCTATAAAGAATGACATTTGATTTCCATTTTACTGACCCAACAATGACAGAGTTTTTTTCCACATGATAAATAGGGCTTTTCTCTATTGTAATGAGCACTTTCACAGTGTCTTATCTTTCCTAATGAACTGACTCCCTTCTTCTCCCCCTCTTTTTTTTTTCTTTTGCCTGCACGCCACAATAGGAAAGCCCAAGGAAGCAGCACATCACCGTGAAGTATCCCAAATACGATGTGTGGGACAGGAAGGCGGCCCAGCGGCTCCGGAGGGGCGTCCCCGCTATCCTGAGGGCCAAAAAGTTTCGGAGGCAGGCAGAGAAGATTAAAGCCCAGGAGCAGTCAATCTTCCACAGGCCTCTGATCAGCCTTCCCAGCAAACTGCCCCCCGTGTTGCACACCACGGACAACTTTTTCAACCACAAATGAGCCCGCTGCCAGCCCTTTGCACAGACAAGAGTATGAGGGTGACAAAAAAGACTAGGGGATTATAGCTTTGTCTCTGACGTCATTTCTGTGGCAGTCCTCTTTGACCTCCCCTGCCCTGTCCAGGCCCACCAGGCCCTCCCCCCCGCTCTAGTCCACTACGTCTTGAACCCATGGCCCTTTTCTAATGACCCCCCCCACCCCGTCCCCACACACCCGCCCCGTTTTAAACCTCAACCACCCACCCTTCTCTGGCACACAAACATGCCTTCGCATTCTTCCTGTCTGAACCCTTTAGCTCCTTTTCTCTTTCAGTCACTGATACAAAAGGAACGAACACAAAAGTTGGAAAAAAAAAACTTTAACAATTTGGCTGAATGCAGTTCAGGTGGATCCCTAAGCAAAAGAGAAAAAGGGAAGGAGGAAAAGAAGATGAAAGAGATCTGTGTTTCTAAGTGTCAAGAGGACACCTAGCAGAAGATTTTTTTTGTCCTGGTGGAAGACAACTAAAAGTGAAGAGCAGCTTGCATGAAAAAACAAAATCCATTCCACATCGTTTTTTTTTCCTGAGGCAGAAGAAAATCTCTGTTAGTTCTTTTTTCTTATTAGTTTGCACCTCTTACCTATAAAGGGACTTCCACACTGTAAGGAATTATTTTGCAAAATTAGATTCCTGTTCCAGCACCTTTTTGATCACAAACAAAAAGCAGAAAAAAAAGTCTGCAAAATTGCACATTGCCACGGATTACGTCAAAGTAAAGAAAAAAAAGGCACTATTTTTTTTATGAACAATGAACGTGTAGCTTAAAAAACGTCATGGTGCTAGCTTTGGGAATGGACTCAAAGAAGAGGTTGAAAAGCACGTATTTTTTTTAAAATGAATATTAAACTTTCCGTTTTAAGGAAAGTGTGACTTTTAAAAAGGAAAACAAAGGATATGGGGGAGCTCCTGACAGCGGCACTGTCAAGGGGGAAGAGTCACTGAGGAAAAATATGGGCTGTGTTGGCAACCTTGGCTCATGGCGAGTACTAGCGGCTGCTCATTACTAGTTTGCCAGCATAAGCAGCAAAGGGGGCAACCTGAGACCTAGTCCTGGTTCCTCCTGTCTCTCTGAGGCTGCTGGACAAGACGGAGCAAACCAGGGACACATTTGGGACACCGGGACCGCCTGGATTGGGGCAGTACTTCCTGTTTGCCATGGCTTTGCAGACTGCTCTGACAGGAATTAACATGGCACGGACAAAGAACAAGTGGGATAATAATGATTATATTTTATTTTGTCTTTTTTCATATCAATGTTTAAAAGAAAACAAAAAAACAACAACAAAAAAAAAAAGGAAAACCCTGTCAGTTTCTGGTACCGTGACATTCCTGTTTTTCCAACTTAGGCATATTTTTGTTTGTTTTCATGGTATTGTTATATTATTTTACAGTTTTAAAGTAAAGGCACACAGTTTCAGTTCAAAGGGGAAAAAAAGCAATAATGTCAACTAACATTTAATGTTTATTTTATATCTGTAGTATTCACCTGCTTTTGCCTGAAAACAAATACTTGAAAATGCAGTATATATATATCTATGTATGTATA